GACGAGCTGAAATGCCACTGATATGATGAAATAACTATCCACGATTTGTGTTTTATTCATCAATTGGATACTTTTCTTATGTAACTGCAACCTATAAATATATTAAAATAATGTATATTCCATTCAGAGAACTTTTTCCTCGCAGTGCGTCGCCTCGAAATACTTGCCAGATAAATACATTTACTATTATGATGGTTTCGCGGGTACCAATTTTTTATAGATAAATAAAAATATTTTTTGTTTAATTTTTATTACGCTAATATCAGTTTTCTCTAACAAATATTAACAAAATATTAATTATATATTAATATTAATATAACAAAATTTAAATTTATTATAAATAAACACCATGGTGTTTTTTGCAGTCACGTTTCACAAATTTTTATTTAATACTATGTTTAGCTAAGACATATAAATTAAAAATGTGATTATTTCTTTTTAAAACATTATCTACGATAATTAATCTAAAAAAAAGTATTCCGACAAAACTAATTTGAATGGAGAATAATGCATTTATTTTAAACAACCCGTGGGCCGGCGCCACTGAATAAACATCCAAACTATTAGAACGCTATTAGGAAGTCACGTAGGGTCTGACATAGCAGTGTAGAAAAGTAAGTGATACGCCCACTTCAAATCGCAGTATGCTATAACTGCGAAAACAGCCTTAAGGAAAAACCAAAAAGTTTACTTGGAACTCTATAATACAAAAGGATTAGTCTAGACGGGATCTGTTTTGGATTGGACATTTTCCATAGGAAGCTATTTTTTGCTGGAATCCCTTCAGGATGTGCCCAATATCGATAATCACGATATGCGCCAGTCGCAAACCCTGCGCTAAATTTTTTATTTAACAAAATCTGAACACAATATTGAAAATTTCTCATTTTTTTGCTCCTATTTTCGTTTCTACCTAATTCGGAAAATATTGATCATAGAGAACAAATTATAAGAAGTTAAAAGTTACGTAATTCAATTTTACACAATATTTCGTTAGCGAGAAATTGAAAATTTAATGTTTATTGTTGAAAAAATAGCAATAATTGAAAAAAAAGTACAAAAAATGAAGTTCAGTTAATCAGTGCAATCCAGCGTACTGGAAAAAAATCGCACATTTTCAAATTTATAGTAGGACCTAAATAAGGCCCTCAGATAGTTGCAAATTTTTTTGCGTATAAAGGAAGGCTCAAACTTTCAAACGCTTTTTGTAAAATTCAAATCGGTTCACTAGGAGAGCCTAGAAAATGTTTTAAAGTTTTAAACATTTTTTAGACTTATAAACAAATTGAATAACTTTACGAGCTTTAAACATATCATTTTCGAATCAAAATATATTCTCAAATCAAATAATATTATTATAATAAAACTGCAGAAATTAATTATTTTAAAAAGTTAGATTTTTACAAAAAAAAACGTTCGCCTTTGTTTTAACAATTCAAATTATTTATTAACAATTTATAAATACATATTTGTTTACTAAAAGTAACAATATATAATAACAGTAATAATTTGAATTGTTAAAACAAAGGCGAACGAAATTTTTTTTTGTTTTTTTTTTTTGTAAGTCAAACTTTTTAAAATAATTAATTTCTGCAGTTTTATCATAATAATGACATTATTTGATTTGAAAATATATTTTAATTCGAAAATGATATGTTTAAAGCTCGTAAAGTTATTCAATTTGTTTATAAGCCTAAAAAATGTTTAAAACTTAAAAAAAAATTCTAGGCTCTCCTAGTGAACCGATTTCAATTTTACAAAAAGCGTTTGAAAGCTTAAGCCTTGCTTTATATGTAAAAAAAATGCAAGTGTCTGAGGGCTTTATTTAGGGACTTGCGATTTTTTTCCAGTAGGCTGGATTCCACAATATTATTATGCAAAACCTATCCGACCGATCTTAACAAAATTTAGCACACGTTTTAAACATACATATTAAAAAGTTTTTCTATGCGAAATATGGAGCTTGTAAGTCAAGTTTAAAAAGTAGAAAACATTTAAAGGATTAACTTAATTGTTTTGTACTTTTTTTCCAATTATTGCTATTTTTCCAACAATAAATATTAAATTTTCAATTTCTAGCTAACGACATATTGTGTAAAATTGAATAACGAAACTTTTAACTTCTTATAATTTTTTCTCTAGGATCAATATTTTCCGAATTATAAACGAAAATAGAAGCAAAAAAATGAGAAATTTTCAATTGTTTTCAGATTTTGTTAAATAAAAAATTTAGCACAGAGTTTGCGTCTGGCGCATATCGTGATTATCGATATTGGGCCCATCCTGAAGGGATTCCAGTAAAAAAATAGCTTCCTATGGAAAATGTCCATTATGGTCTGAATTTTTACAGATCCCCCCTAGTCTATTACGGAAAGATCACAAATTAGATGCTCAGACGATTTGAGTCGACATAAATAATTTACATGGACAACAAAAACACAAGAATATGCATGAAATAATTTGACTTAACTTTTGTTTTTCTCATTTATCAATTCAATTAATAGTTTTTTGGAATCTGGCTAATTCTTATCCAATATTGTCAATAGTTGCTGGTTTCAGCTGATGTTTCTGATTATAAATGTCACTTATTCACAAAATATTTTATGTATACAGGTATATATGTATATGATACAATTTGTAAAAATCCGATACCGCAAACTCAAGAGTATAACTGGAAAAATTAATAAATGTATCCCTTTGCAGATTTGAATTTTCACATTGTTTATATTATTACTAGGTATTATACTACTACAGAATCATGTACTGTTATTATATAAAAAAATGTATTACTCAATTTTAAGTTATATTCACATAACAAATTCCCAATGCAAATATAAAATACGACACAAGGTTTGTTCATAGCAGACCTGATTAGATCAGATCGTATTTTGAACAATCTATCGTATAATTAATCGTAAGACTATACTAGTTTTTCTTATTCGTAGATGAGAAATTCGTGGTGATAGTTATAAATATGGATTAAAAATTAATATATGAAGACAAAGATAAAGAAGGTCCTCTAAATGTATGCCAGAAACTGAAACTGATCTGCACTGAAGGTGGGGCATGGGCACAAAGCAATAACGAAGATAAAACGAAGTCAATAATATTCACACTAAATTAAACCCCACAAAGTCCCCAGGGTATGAATTAATTATCGAAAGAATCTTAAAGGAATTACCAAGAAAGGCCCTACTTTATCTTACACAACTATATAATGCAGTATTAAGAAGAGAACATTTTCCTCTAGTTTGGAAATTAGCCCAAATAATATTAATTCCAAAACAGAAGAAAATCCTTGGAGGAAATAAAGTCCTACCTGCTTTCTATTATGTCTCAAATACTGGAAAAATTGCTGTTATCTAGAATAGAGCCAATTTTAACTGACAAACAAATAATACCTCATCCCGGTTTGGCTTTAGGCCACAGCATTTTTGAACTAATTCACCGAATTTACCAACAAATATGCCAATCACTGGAAAACAGAAAATATTATTCCTGAATATTTTTAGACATCTCCCATTTAACAAAGTCTGACATAATGAATGGCCTTTTATACAAAATCAAAAAATCCTTCCCAACAATTACTTCCAAATCCTAAGGTCCTACCTGCAAGACAGCTTTTACCTAGTAAAATATCATGACGAGTATACCAGATTTTACCCAATTGTGCTAGAGTCCTTCAATGCAGTGTTCTCGGACCAGTGCTGTACCTGAAATTCACTGCGGACTTACCTACATCACCAGAAGTCACAACAGCAACTTAGACACACGACATAGCAGTAATATCTTCTCATGAAGACCCAACCATAGCATTACACAGAGTACAGGCTAACCTGTATCTGTAATATTGTCAGAGAATTTACTTATTGTAATTATATTCAGATTGTAAATATATTGAGATGTTAAATAAAAAAAGAAATTGAAAGACCAAGGCGAAGAACCTAGAGAGAAATGGGAGAACCAGGTCATAACAGATACAAAAATCCTGAAAGCGAGAAACTGAGGGACCTATGCACAGATCGAAAAGAGTGGAAAAAAATTGTAACGAAAGCCAAGCCAACAAATTTAGACAACGCACAAGAAGAATGCGGAGTGATTCGGCGCAATCAGCTAATCAAAGAGCTCTGAGTAAGAGCGGTAAAAATTCCATCAGAAATAAAAGGCCTTGATGATCATAATGATCATGTGTTTATTGACAGAGCCAACAACAGCAGAATGGGCATTCATAATATTGCTGGATACAAAAGTGTGGATAATTTTTATATCGTGCTCAATAATGAAGAGAAGTATCGATACAAAATTCGACGTTCAGATGTACTATCAGCATTACCAAAATACGTAAAAACACGAATATAACAAAAAATACTAAGACGAATTTCGTATAATCTTTTGTTTTCATAATATTCATTTATGTCTACGAAACTTAGATTATTAGACTGGTGGGTAGAAGAATTGACGCATTTAAAGTGGTTTTTAGAACACAATACTGCGAATACTTTAGGACAAACAAAAGAACATACTAACAAACAAATCAGTTCTTGGAAACAACCCAAGGCGTCTTTCTACTGCTAATGGTTCAGGAAAAAATCGAGAGGAAAATCAGTAGAGTCCGATTGATTACTAACCATTCACAAAACTTTTCGTGTACAATGGGCACCCGAGAACCGAGAAAGATGGAGAACCAAGACTAAAAACGTAATAAATACCATGTCTGACGATATGTATTTACTAGAATTCCATTGAAAATAAAAAATTATCAGCAGAATTTTATCGACAATGTATTATGACTGTAGGGCATTTATTTATAAAGCGAACATATTACTTTCTTAGTCATCGAAGACATTTTTATAATGCTGCAGCGTTTGTGGCGTATTAGCAATATTTATTGTTTCTCGGTGCTTCTAGACCTTCATACAACTTTGTTCAGAGCTGGGAAATTGTTGTGCAAATACACCAGAAATATATATAAAACTTTGATAGATATTATATCAACTTACAATCTGCTGGACGGTTCGTTAGCGGCTTCGTCTCCTTCTATCCTGTACACCTTTCCTGCCATCACATATTCAAAGCTGTCCGCTCTCGAACCTTCGTTCTCCAGTCCTTGAGGATTCCAGTCTCCAGCATCAGCGTAGCCATCTTCTCTCAATGTTGTGGCAAGAACCAGACGAAATTTATCACCTGCAACAATAGAACAATAAAGTAATATATATTAAAGCAAAAAAACCAATAAAGGTAATGTTATCTCTATTGTTCGTATTCATCAAGGAGCTCATATATTATTATCACCATTAACGTATCGGGACAGGACCAATAAAAAAGGGTTTGTATAGTCATACATAGGGGTTGTATGGGAGTTATATAAAACATGACTTCATTTGGGGCAACTGATTTTCAAAAAGTAAATATTATCTGCAAGGAGAAGAGTGACTTATCCAGACCCAGTATTCTAGGCGGAGATTTATGTAATAGTGGCAAATGGTTTAATTTTTTTATCAATATTTTCATACTGTAACTCTTGTACACCAGTTATTTAGTTTGTAAACGATTCTTTGTATTGTAGTTCACAGTCACAATTTGCGATTATCGGTTGATCCTCGGTAAAAAGTATAGTTTTTATTAGTGAATGTTGATTGATAGTGGTAAAGATCGCCGAAGATATCACTGTCTTTCTGAAAGTACCAAGTTAAAAGTACTAACTTTTGTAAGGAACAAGACAAATCAGAATATTTTTACTTCTATAAATAGATTCTTATACTCCTACTGTGATATTAATTATTACTTAGAAAGACAAGCTATATCTATAATGATCTTGAAAAGAATAGGTTATATTTTTTTATAGAACTTTGGTGTGTATTAAACAAAGATGACAAATATAAACAATGGCTGTGGTAAGAAGACCTTGACTGTGGTTTTGGTTTATATAATGTAATCGCTTTATAATTCAAACTCGCTCTTGCCGGAGATTAAAAAAAATACCAATATCAGTAATTTATTCATAACTAATGTATTTAGCTTGAATCAATACGTTGCCTATTTTTATGCTATAAACGGTTTCTGCGGATATAACAAATTACAAATCGTATATCAGCAATTAAGAAACCAGATAAACCGAGATATTTAGTGAATTACGGGAGCGGTTTCACATTAATCAGGCCTAAAAAAGACAACGTACAAGTTTATTAAGTAAGACCTAATTTACTTTTCAATAGTCTCTTTTTTAGAAACCTAAGGAACATAAATCTTGAAAAAAAAAACCACTTTTTTAACTTACATAAAGAAAATATAGCATTTGAATAAGTTTCTTATTCTATTATTAAGTTTTAAATTTTTGAGAAAAATTGCGGCTAAAAATATTGAAAATTGTCGATTTTTTCCTGCAGTTTTCCTCGTCCAGCTTTTTTTTAGGTAGGCAGAATATTCGGGTGCACGTTCATTTAAAAAGAAAAAGGATTAAAAAAATAATGAAATTTAAAGTTTTACAATAAGTTTGAATGAATTTTCGTCTATTTTGTAGCATGTTCAAATGTTCAAAAGTGTTTTTTCCTTTGACCATCAGCATCAAGAAAATTGAAATTTGTCAGAATGTGGCCGTATTAGAATCGTTACTCTTTGTGAAAATGGATACCATAAGTTGGACTCGCTGAACGGTTTCATGTCATTCAGTCAACCATTTCAAGAGTCTTAACATGTTTTACTGTTATTGGAAGTGACTCAAAAAGACCCGGTCAAGTTCGTAGAAGGGTTACAACTCCTAATCAAGAGCAATTTTTGACACTTCGTACACTTATGCAAAGGTTTGTTGGATTGTTATAACTAGAAAAGCAGCCAAAATACGATAAAGAGAAGATCGGCCGCAAATGACCTGCGCTCTGGAAGGTCACCCACTTGCCCATTGTTGACCAGAGATCATAGAAGGCAAGTGCATTTTGCTAGTGAACATGTTGTTTGGAATAATGACGAGTGGGGAAAATATAATAATAATATAAAAAAGTTAACATCAACAGAAAAGAATTCGAGGCAACCACAAGATAGTGCAGAAGTCAGAGTGGCAACCTATTAACAACAAGGAAAAATGTATTGAATAGATTGGTGGAATACTTTAACCAGACACTTAATATTGAGGAAGAAGAAGAAAGAGAAAGGGTAGGGGGAACAGACTAGAGAAAAGAGGAACCACCAAAAATTCTTTAAGTTAAAGATGCAGTTAAAAAACTAGACCAGAAACAAATCACCCGGAATAGATAGTCTCCCAGCTGAACTACATAAAGAAGGGGCCATGATGCCATAATGGCATTACAACAGCTTATAGAAGAAATATGGACACAGAAATGCCTCCCCAATGATTGGAATATTGGAATACTTTGCACCATACAAAAAAAAAGAAGATATATTTGAATGCTCTAATCACAGAGGAATTACGCTTCAAATGCAGCGTATAAAATGTTTTCCACAGTACTGTGTCACCGTAAGTGAAAACATAGAAGAAGCCTACATACAAAGAGGTAAAAACCTTCTACCAAGAAGTTGAGAAATACACAGAAACTACAAAGAATAATCCACAGTATTGCAGAAACAAAGAAGGTTTACTTCTAGGTAAAACAACAGAAAAATTAAACAGATGGGCGGAATATTTCGAAGATCTATTAAATACAGACCAAGAAGAGAAACTTGAGGGAAATGAGAATTGGCAAGAAGATGAAGAAGGGACGTGCGAAGAACCAACTCTGAATGAAGTCAAAGAAATGGTGGCGAAAGATTAAAGGAAAAAATATTTTACTTGACACTAATAGTTTAGCAAAATTAAGAAATGCCGAAACAAAGGAGACAAAACGGAGTGCGAAAACTATAGAGGATAGCACTATTGGAAGTAGTCTATAAAATACTTGCAAAAATTATTAGGAAAATATTAATAAAACATGATAACAAAGTGATTGGAGAAAACCAGGGAGATTTTAGATCAGGAAGAACAACTACTGATCACATAAGTACATATGTTAAAATTAATACAAAATAATAGCTACGAACAAAATTTAGGATTAGATATGCTATTTATCGATTTTAAACAAGCATATGACTCCCTAAATCGAAAGATGAGACTATATGAGGCCATGAGAACATTAGAAATACCAGAAAAGCTTATAAAGAATACGATGAATAGGGTAAAAATGGAAGGAAGCTTTTCAAGACAGTTCACAGTGAATAGATGTGTTACGATTTTAAATGTTATGGCATATAGAACTGTAAATATTTTATGACTAATTCTTTTTTATTGATTCTCGTAATTTGTAGGTCAAAATATACCTGAGCTTAGCTACCAGTTGTTTACCAGAAATCTCTAGACACTAATTTTAGTGAGTCATCCACGTCTCGAGGTTGAAAAACGAGTCGAGCGCCTTCACCAAAATACGAGACTATTCAGGAAGTCCGCCGAATTCTCTAGATGACACAGTTGTGTATATAAATGAAAGATTTTTATTTGGCAGTCAGTGATAAGAAGCTCGCGAACCGCGATATTTAAATGTAACGAAACGTTAATAAATTATTTGTAATTAGGATTAATAAAGACTTTAATAAATTCGTAATTAGTGATCGTGAGTTTTAATAAATTAGAATATAGACAATAAATTAGAATAAAGACAAATAAATTAGAGCAATAAAAAGACGCCACAGTGGTGTACAGGAGTGGGGTTGTAGATAAATTTAATTTGATTTTTGAAAAAGACTTTTGAACTTTTGAAAGGTATTGTTCGTCGGGAACATCCGCGTAGTTCAGTAGTGATCGTTGTACGAAAGAACATTTAAAAAGTACGTGTGTGCCTGACCAAAGATGCTGCTAGTAGAACTTTCAGTGAAACAGTTGCGTGAGCAACTAGAAGAACGCGATGAAGACTGCAGCGGGTCCAAGAAGATCCTCCAAGAACGACTGAAGACTGTTCTCAACAAGAATGGAGACGACCCAGAGACATTCCAGTTCCAGTCAGCAGAAGAAGCCGTTTTAACTAAAATAATCGATGGAAAATTTGAGAATGTCTCACAAAAGATCGAAGAGAGTTCTAAAAAAAATGATGAAAGATTCAATGAAACGTCTCAAATTATTAAAGAAGTAGCTAGACAAAACGACGAGAAACTTGAAAATGTGTCAAAAAGATTCGACGAGAAATTTGAAAATGTTTCTCAAATGATGGAAGAAACTTCGAAAAAGAATAATGAGAAATTTGAAGAAGTTTCCAAAACATTCGAAAAAGTAGAAGAGAAAATCAAACAGTTAGAGACCATGATAACTAACACGAGAGTGCTACCACCAAATAATACGGTAGCTTTAGATCCGGTAGAGATAAAAGAAGACGAGACAAAATGTAAGTTGGAAACACGGCCGAAATTTGAAGGAAATGGAAGTTCCGTTCATGTCAAAGTCCCAACTTTCGAAGTTGGGACATCATGGGATCATCATGGAACAACTACATGAAACAGTTCGAATCAGCTGCAAGAGCGAATGGATGGTCTGAAAAAGAAAAGGCTGTAAACCTGACTATCGCTCTTCGAGGAGATGCCTTAGATGTGCTCCAGACCATAGCCGTAGAGGAGACGGATGATTTCGAACAACTGAAAAAGAGGTTAAATATGCGATATGGCCACGAACACTTGGAGCATGTATATCAGTCGCAGCTCAAAAATCGAAGACAAAAGAAAGATGAGGCTCTTCAAGAATATGAAGTAGATATCGCCAGATTAGTGCGATATGCTTATCCAACAGCTCCCGAAGACATGATGGAAAAGTTGGCCGTTCAAACGTTTATTGATGGTCTTCGTGATCATGAGATGCAAAGAACACTACGATTAGCTCGTCACAAGACGCTGGTTGATGTCTTATCCGCCGCCCTCGAATACGAGTCAGCTACGCAGGCCTCTGGCGGTTACAGTAAAGTTAGGACTGTAAAAGAGGAAGAAGATGAAGATAAACTGGACCAGCTCGTTAATATGATGAAAAGCATGACATACAAGAAGACGAAGACCATAAGATGCTGGAATTGTGGCGAAATAGGACACGTACGAAGTTCATGTAAGCATCCTAGGTACGACACAAATCAAGAAACTCACCATCAGGAAAACTAGAAAGGGTCGGCCTTAGGGGGGCAGCTTCGACCCAGAACTTTTCCAAAGACCCTCTCATACTAATA